CAGGAGTTGGAGGTTGCTGTGAGCTGTGATGCCACAGCACTCTACCCAAGGGGACAGCTTGAGGCTCTGTCTCAAAAAAAAAAAAAAAAAAAGAACAGAAAAGAGGGCTCAGTGCCTATGGCTCAAGTGGCTAAGGCGCCAGCCCCATACACCTAATACACCTGAGCTGGCGGGTTAGAATCCAGCCTGAGCCTGCCAAACAATGATGATGGCTGCAACCAAAAATAGCCAGGCATTGTGGCTGGTGCCTGTAGTCCCAGCTACTTGGGAGGTGGAGGCAGGAGGAGGTTGGGGTGAGCTGTTATGCCACAGCACTCTACCCAGGGCGACAGCTTGAGGCTCTGTCTCAAAAACAAAAAGAAAGAAAGAAAAATGAAAAGAAAAGAGAGGGTGTGGGTGCATATCCTGTAGACTGGGGGTTTGGTGGCCCTGGAAGAAGGGCCTGGCAAAGGAAGTTCTGGACAGGCAACAGAAAGAGAGAGTATGGTAAAGGTAGTGTAGATCTGTGAACAGAGGAACCCAAGGAACAGGAAGAGGCAGTGGTAAATAACCAAAACCCAGCATGGAGTAGGCACTCACCAAGTGAGCATTCCTTTCCAAATTTATTTCCTTTTATTTCCCACAGAGCGAGATAAATGCTATTTTACTGCTGTGGAAACTGAGTTCAGAGGAGCAGCACAGTGCTGCACTTAAGAGTGTGGGCTCTTTTAACCATATCCTCTTTTTTTTTTTTTTTTGAGACAGATTCTCACTTTGTTGCCCTTGGTAGAGTGCTGTGGTGTCATAGCTCACAGCAACCTCCAACTCTTGGGCTCAGGTGATCCTCTTGCCTCAGCCTCCCAGGTAGCTGGGATTACAGGTGCCTACCACAATGCCTGCCTGTTTTTAGAGACAAAAGTCTTGCTCTTGCTCGGGCTGGTCTTGAACCTGTAAGCTCAGGGTAATCCACCCACTTCGGCCTCCCAGAGTGCTAGGATTACAGGTGTCAGCCAGTGCGCCCAGCCTAACCATATCCTCTTGAGCAGCAGTTCTCAACCTGTGGGTCGCGACCCCTTTGGGTGTCAAACAACCCTTTCACAGGGGGCACCTAAATATATCCTGCATATCAGATATTTACATTATGATTCATAACAGTAGCAAAATTACAGTTACGAAGTAGCAATGAAAATAATTTTATGGTTGGGGGTCACCACCACATGAGGAAATGTATTAAAGGGTTGTGGTATTAGGAAGGTTGAGAACCACTGCCCTTGAGGGTTCAGTCTTCAAACTCCCTCTTTCTGCACTCACCGCAGTGTCATTTCTTTTTTTTTTTTTTTGAGACAGAGCCTCAAGCTGTCCCCCTGGGTAGAGTACCGTGGCATCACAGCTCACAGCAACCTCCAACTCCTGGGCTCAAGCGAGTCTCCTGCCTCCGCCTCCCAAGTAGCTGGGACCACAGGCGCCCGCCACAACGCCCGGCTATTTTTTGGTTGCAGCTGTCATTGTTGTTTGGCGGGTCCGGGCTGGGGATTCGAACCCGCCACCTTAGGTGTACGTGGCTGGCGCCTTAGCCGGTTGAGCCACAGGCGCCGAGCCGCAGTGTCATTTCTTTAAAAACTCTCCATGCCTACTCACTCCCAGATGCATATCTTTAGTCTTTACCTCTCCTTTAAACTTGACATGCAGCTCCCTACTCACCTTCTTTACCTGGATGTCTGATTGGTAACTCAAAGTTAACCTGCTCCACTCAAGCCTTCTCCATTTCAGTTGGGGGCACCATTGACCTTCTAGTTGCTTAGGCCAAAATTCCTGGAGTTTACCTGGTCCTCCCTTTCTCTCTTGGCCCACAGCAAATCCTCAAAATCCATCCTAGATCTGACCTTTCTGCCACTTCTGGTGTAGGCCACCCTCATCTCAGCCCTGAGCTGTTGCAGTGAGCTTCTCACTGTCCTCTCTGCTTCTGTTCTGTTCCCTCTTCTCATGCTAGCAGCAGAACCCATGTCTCAGATCCTGTCCCTGTTGTGCCTGGAGCCACCCAGGTCACCCATCCAGTGTCTTCATATCAGGGTCCAAAACAAAGTCCTCACTACAGCCTACAGGCACCATGGGCTGCCCTACTGATGTCTGTGACAAAGCACTGTGTACCCGCCACCTCCGACATCCTCGCTTCTCTGTCATGCAGGCCTTTGTGCCTGAACACACTGCTCTACAAGGCTTTTGCACCAGTTGTTCTTTTGGCCTAGAAAGTTCCTACCCCAGTATATGCCTGGTTTGCTTGCTTCCTTCCTTTGGATCTCTGCTTAATGTTGCCTCCTCAGAGAGAGAGGCATCTGAGCCCACCATTCAGTTTAAACTAGCCTGCCCTTACCCTGCTGTATTTTGTTTTCTGACCAAGCACTTAGCTTCCCGACACAGCACATTATTTTGTTTGTGGTCCATCTCCTTCCTCCAGAAGTTCCCTGAGCCCCATGGGGGCAGACTTTGTTTTGTTCACTGTCTGGCACAGAGCTTAGGCACATAGTAGGTGCTTAGTAAATACAGTAGAACCTCTGAAAGTTGACCCCCCAAGGGACTGTAACAAACCGGTCAACATGCAGAGGTGTCAACATAAGGAACTAGGCCTGCTGTACTGATATGTACGTGTGGTGCATGTCTGGTCTATGAAAATAAGGTCTGTACACAGCTAACATTTAATAAAAAAAAAAAAGATTAAAATAAAGAAAAGAAAGTCAACATAAGGAGGTGGTCAGCTACAGAAGTTCTACTTTATTTGTTGAAGAGTTTTTGGAGCCAGGTTGCTTAGGCTCTTATCCCTCCCCAGTCACCCATTAGCCATGTGAGTTGAGCCCCTTACTTTCCTCTCTCTGAGTTAGTTTCCTCACCAGGTGATGGGGTAAAGCGTAAAGCCAGGTATAAGGTCAGGAGGTAATGACCCCTGGGTAAACCTTGTCCCTCTGCCATCTACAGGCTGAGGGCTGAACTTGTCTTTGTGGGTCACGTGAAGGTTTGTACCCTTGCCTAATCTTGCATGTGGCCTATAGGCCACATTCCACTACCGGACACTGTGCAGTGATGATGAGGGCACTGTGTTGGATGACAGCCGGACACGTGGCAAACCCATGGAGCTCATCATTGGCAAGAAGTTCAAGCTGCCTGTGTGGGAGACCATCGTGTGCACCATGCGTGAAGGGGAGATTGCCCAGTTCCTCTGTGACACTAAGGTATGCGTCCAGCCACACCCTATTCTGTATCCTCAGTGCCCTTACCCTAGCTAGGCCACCACCTGTGTCTCCAGATCACCCACCAACCTCCACCTGCCTTCTCCTGTCTGTTAGTCACATAGCAGCCAGGGGTCTTGTTCTCACATGTAAATGACTTGTACATCCCTTTGCTTCAAATCTCTGGCTCCTGGTCACCCTCAGGGTACAGTACAGTAATCTTCCCTTAACATGGTCAATAGGTTCTTAGAAACTGTGACTTTAACCAAAACAACATATAGCAGGTCCTTGAATAATGCCATCGTTTTGTTAAAACATTAATGAGGAAAAAAAAAATGGTTTCATCATACATGGATAATAAAATCAGCGAGGATCTACCCAGTAAGCTGTGGCTACCCACACACCACTTTTGGGTCTGGCCTCTGCCATCTCCCCCTCCTGCTCCACTTCCCTCCCTTTCCTTCCAACTCCTCTTTTTTGTCAGGACCCTCTCTCATACTTCAAAGTTACTCTCATACTTCAAAGTTAATTCTTGGTCACCACCCCCAGGAAGTCTTTCCTGACTGCCAGCAGATGGCCTGAATTTTTCCTCTGGGTCCTTCAACCCCATGCCTTGCATGGCCAGGATCTGGTCTTCTGCATGGACCTAGGCTACTGCAGGGCAGGGGCTGGGCCTGTTTACCTGCTCAGCCCAGCAGCTGAGACTCAGGAAACATCTTCTGAGTGAACGTTAACCCAAGATTCAGCCCCTATGCCAAAAGAGTGGTGGTGAGTAGTAATAGTTTGATTCCCAGCATCCCAGCGGCTTCTCCAGGGGAAAGGTCAAAGGCTAGATACCCTATGCCTATCTCCCCCGGGGTTTGTTTTTTGAGATAAGGTCTTACTCTGGTACCCAAGCTGAAATGCAGTGGCATCATCACAGCTCATTGCAGCCTCAAATTCCTGGACTCTGGCAATCTTCCTGCCTTAGCCTCCTGAGTAGCTGGGACTACAGGCACCTGCCACCATGGCTAGCTAATTTTTCTATTTTCTCTAGAGATGGGGATCTCTTGAACTGGCCTCAAGAGGTCCTCCTGCCTTGGCCTCCCAAGATGCTGGGATTACAGGCATGAGCCACTGCACCCAGCTCTCCTGAGAGTTTTTAAGTTGCTGCCCTGGATCTAGCTCCTAGATAGGTCCTGAATGGGGTGGGGCAGGAGAAGGAGGAAGAGATGCTGGTAATAGGATATGCTAGGGCCCCCAGTAAGGATGTGAAGTCCAACTTGTGAGGTATGGGAGAGGCACGGTACATACCTGGGGGAGAGGAGGAGGTGAAGGGAAGAATTTCTCTGAGCCTCTAAGGACAGGGAGGAGTTGATGGTGGAAGTGTGTGAGTGGGGGGTAGGTGTTTGCTTTGGTGCTCAGGGAATGTGGCAAAAGCTGGGTCTTCCCCAGGAGGGAGGGCCGAGAGGCCAGAGAAGCATTTGAAGGAAAGCCCTCCTGTGTTTCAATGGGCGGGGGGGTCCTTGGCCAGTTGCTGCCCCTCTCTGGGCGTTGGTGTCCCTTCTCATGGTGTTGGGGAAGGGGACTGCGCCTCATGGACCAGATAACCAACTAGCCCACACTGATAGAGGCCCTGGTGTCCACTTTCCCTCCTGCAGCATGTGGTCCTGTATCCACTGGTGGCCAAGAGTCTCCGCAACATTGCTGCAGGCAAGGACCCACTGGAGGGCCAGCGGCACTGCTGTGGCATTGCCCAGATGCATGAGCACAGCTCTCTGGGCCATGCCGACCTAGATGCCCTGCAGCAGAACCCTCAGCCTCTCATCTTCCACATTGAGATGCTTAAGGTGAGGGGCCACTTGGCCCTGGGTGTCCCATGAGACTACCACTGCCCAGCCTCAGAGCAGCACTGGCCTTGCCTGCCCCAGGTGATGGTATCTGGGGATGGGCTGATGAGGGAGGTGACAGGTACAAAAACACCCGAGCAGGACTCCTGGCAGTCCCCCTGGGTCTCCCTTCCTTCTTTAGGTCTCAAATATCACCTCCTCCAAGAGGCCTGCCCCGGCCATGCTTTGAAGTCCTGTAGAAGGTCATGGTGATCTTCCCATGGACACCATCTCTGCACAGGCAGGGATTTTCACCACCTTGTTCACTGTTCTATTCTTAGCACTTGGCATAGTGCTGGGCTCACAGGAGATGCTACATGAACATTTGTTGAATGGTCATGGAACAAACAAGTGGCTTGGCTTGTAGAATCTGATGTCTTGATGCCCAGCCAACCCAGACATCACTGGGTCTACTGCTAAGAAGCTATGGTGGCCCCTCAGACCCCCATGATTTGACTCATGCCTGGCAGGTGGAGAGCCCTGGCACATACCAGCAGGACCCGTGGGCAATGACAGACGAGGAGAAGGCTAAGGCAGTGCCACTCATCCACCAGGAGGGCAACCGGCTGTACCGGGAGGGGTATGTGAAGGAAGCCGCTGCCAAGTACTATGATGCCATCGCTTGCCTCAAGAACCTGCAGATGAAGGTGCTGCCTGGAGGCTGTGGAGGGTGCATGCAGGGGTGGAGGTGCACCTGGAGTAGGGTGACCAGGTCCTGATTTTCTAACAATTTGTCCTGCATCCTGCGGCATTTTTAAAAAGTCCCGATTTTTGGAAAGAATGCATGAATGGGCGGGAGAACAGTAAGGGAATATATGGTTTTCGGCTGCCATGGGGCTATTTTGCTAGGATATGAATTTTATATTATTTTTGTTAATATTTTTTTAATTTTTTTTTTTTTTTTTTTTGCAGTTTTTGG